CAGAGGTCCACTGGAGATCCCCGATTGATCCTAGGGAACGGTTACAGGCTTGTTGTCCTGGGGGGTTATGGGCGCACTGACCCGCTACTTAAAAAGCCCTAATATCCCAATGGTCTAGTGGTTGGGATTCTGACCTAGAGCACCCCGCTACAGGCTAGATAATAACATTCGGACACACCCCCATAGCCAAAGTGGGGTGTAATCAGTAGAACACACAGTCATAGAGCAGGTTCACAATGGCAAGCAAAGCTAGAGGCCATCACAGAGGGCAAGTGAGGAGGAGGAGAGTACTGTGGACGGAGGGAAGATGGGAGGCAACGACTGAAGCTGCAGAGGCACGGGCACAGGAGCGGCTGAGTCAGTGGCTACCGAGGCAAGGGCGACGGACTACTGGAGTGAATGGCTCTACGGCTATAGACGAGCGGCAGGAGCAACGGACCCACTGGCGACTGGTGCAACAGGCTCACTGGCTACCGAAGCGAGGGCGACGGACTACAGGCGCTGCAGGCGACACGACAGCTACCTCCACACAACCTCCTCCAACTGATCCACACCCTTGAGACACACCCCCTACTGAACCCCTAACTCCACTCCCACGTCACCCCCCTAGCACCACTCCTTCGGCTCCCACACACCCACCCCCCTGAGCGGCAGCTGCAGCAGCGGGAGACGGAGGAGGAGGAGGAGCAGGGGACGGCGCACACAACCGGCACCCCCACAACCGTCACCCCCACACTCCTCACCCCCAAACCCTAAAACGGGTGGCACGGGGTAGGAGCGCGGGGGACGGCGCGCGGCCCCTAGGGCGCCACCACGGGGCAGCGAGGGGCCGCGCGCGGCTCCAGGGGTGGCGCGCGGGCCCCAGGGCGCCACCACGGGGCAGCAAGGGGCCGCGCGCGGCTCCTGGGGTGGCGCGCGGCCCCCAGGGTGCCACCACGGGGCAGCGAGGGGCCGCGCGCGGCTCCCAAGGGCGCCGCGACGTGAGGGGCGGGGGTCGCGCGTGCTCCTCAGGGCGCCGCGACGAGCAGGGCGGGGGCCGCGCGTGCTCCCGAGGGCGCCGCGGCCAGCAGGGCGGGGGCTGCGCGTGCTCCCCAGGGCGCCGCGACGAGCAGGGCAGGGGCCGCGCGCGGGTCCCCAAAGAAGGAAACGGCCGCGCGCCTCGAGGCGCACGGCGAGCAGAAAACCGCCGCGCGCCCTGAGCGCACGGCGGAAAGAAAAACCGAAAAAAAAAAAAAAAAAATCGTCGCGCGCTCCGCGTGCAGCAGGAAGGAGGAGTCGCACGCCACGGGGCGTGCAATAGACAGAGTAGCAGCGGAAGCAGTTAGGTGGGCCCACACGCCAGGAGCGTAGATGCTCTGATAGCATGTTACGATAGTGGGTAGAGTAAGGAGCCATAGCTAGGGTTTAGCTAGCTAGGCAAGAGAGAAAAGAACGGAGGAGGGGGTTTCACTAGCAGCAGTTGGGATACATATAGCAAACCCTAACAGGGTTGTACTCGCTATAGAGCACCCCACTACAGGCTAGATAATAACATTCTGACAAACCGACCTGCTGCACAAGGACAGGAACTTTGTGTGGGGGGAGGATGCAGAAGCGGCTTTCCAGGAACTCAAGAACTTTCTCGTTTCCCCTCCTGTGCTGCGCATCGCCGACCCATCAAAGCCATTCGAAGTTGTAACCGACGCCTCAGATTTCGCCATCGGGGCTGTGCTTCTCCAAGACTTCGGGAACGGGTTGCAGCCGATCGCCTATGAATCACGCAAGCTGCAGGCAGTCGAACGCAACTACCCAATCCACGAGAAGGAGGTGCTCGCCATCATACACGCGTTAAAATTATGGAGATGCTACCTGGTGAGCGCCGACGTCACTGTTCGCACAGACCACGAGTCCCTACTGTACCTGCGAGCCCAACCCAACCTCAACCCACGACAGATTCGGTGGTTGGATTATATGGAGAGCCATTTCACCTACCGCATCACGTACAAGAAGGGAGCGAATAATGTCAGAATGTTACTCTCTAGCCTGTAGTGGGGTGCTCTATAGCGAGTACAACCCATCTAGGGTTTGCTATATGTATCCTCATTGCTGCTAGTGAAAAGACCCCTGTTTTGCCTAAACTGTTTCTTGCCTAGCTAGGACTCTCCTAGCTTTGGCTCTTGATCCTAACTCTACACACTATCTTCACATGGAATCAGAGCACATACGCTCCTGGCCTGTGGGCCCTCCTACTGCTTCCGCTGCCCTACACTGTGTCGCGCGCCCTGTGGTGTGCGACCTCTTATTTTTCATCCTGCCGCGCGCTCGGGGCGCGCGGCGGTTTACTGCTGTGGGGGAGCCAGCGCGCGCCCCGCCCGTCCGTCGCGGAGCCCTGGGGAGCACGCGCGGCCCCCCACCCTGCCCGTCGCGGCGCGCTGGGGAGCCCGCGAGCGCCCCGCCCGTCGGTCGCGACGCACTGGGGAGCCAGCGGGCGCCCTGCGTGGTCGTCGCGATGTCCTAGGGAGGCCGCGCGCGCCCCGTCAGCTCGTCGCGGCGCCCTCAGGAGGCCGCGCGCGCCCCGTCAGGCCGTCGCGGCGCCCTAGGGAGCCGCGCGCGCGTCCCCTCCACCCGTCCGTCGCGGCGCCCAGGGGAGCAGCGCGCGCCACGCCCCTTCCCTCGCCCCACCCGTCCATTCTGGCGCCCTAGAGGCGCGCGCCTTCCCCCCCCTCTCCGTCCCCCGCGCTCCTGCCCCTATCCCACCCGTTTTAGGGTTTGGGGGTGAGGGGTGTGGGGGTGGTGGTTGTGGGGGTGTCCGTTGTGCGCGCCGTGCCCTTCTCCTCCTCCTCCTTTGTCTCCCACTGCTACAGCTGTCGCTGAGGGGGGTGGATGAGTGGGAGACTAGGGTTTAGGGTTTTAGGGGGGTGCGTGGGAGTGGAGCTAGGGTTTGAGCAGTGGGTGTGTGTCAAGGGTGTGGGGCAGTTGGAGGAGGCTGTGTGGAGGTACCTGTCGTGTCGCCTGCACCGCCTGTAGTCCGTCGCCCTTGCTTCGGTAGCCAGTCAGCCTGCTGCACCATTCGTTAGTGGGTCCGTTGCTCCTGCCGCTCTTCTGTAGCCGCCGAGCCAGTTACTCCACTAGTCCGTCGCCCTTGCTTCAGTAGCCTCTGAGTCAGCCGCTCCTGTGCCCGTGCCTCTGCAGCTTCAGTCGTTGCCTCCCATCTTCTCTACCTCCACAGCTCCTCCTCCTCCTCACTTGCCCGCTGTGATTAGCTCTAGCTTTGCTTACCTTTGTGAACTCCTGCTCTATACCTGCTTGCTCATTGTACTGATTACACCCCACTTTGGCTATGGGGGTGTGTCAGAATGTTATTCTCTAGCCTGTAGTGGGGTGCTCTATAGCGAGTACAACCCATCTAGGGTTTGCTATATGTATCCTCATTGCTGCTAGTGAAAAGACCCCTCTTTTGCCTAAACTGTTTCTTGCCTAGCTAGGACTCTCCTAGCTATGGCTCCTGATCCTAACTCTACACACTATCTTCACAAATAACATCGTCGATGCCCTGACCCGACCGACAGTACAATCCGCTGCAGTACTCATCACCCATTCGAACCCGCTACTTACGGGACTATTCACCCACGGCTACACTACGGACCCGCTCTTCACGACTGGAAATCATCAGCAGGCCACGACGCAGAAAGGGGATTATTACCTAAGAGCCGGAACCGACCGGATTTGGGTTCCCGCTTACATGCTGCTGCGTGAACTCCTTATCCAAGAGGTCCACGATTCGAATTTCTCCGGACACTTCGGGGTTTATAAAATCCAGAAATTACTGCACTGTCAATACTACTTGCCTGACTCCTCTAACGACGTGCAGAGATATGTGTCCTCATGCAGGGTGTGCCAAGCCATGAAATCGACACGTCAACGACCAGCTGGGCTGCTGCAACCCCTCGTGCCACCCGAACGACCGTGGCAGCAGGTGACAATGGATTTTGTCACGGGAATGCCAGCTGGACCGTCCGGCAACGACGCTGTTCTCGTCATCGTCGATCGCTTCACGAAAATGGCGCATTTTGCCACATGCCGAACGACAATCACAGCCAAAGAAAATGCGCGCCTCTTCATCTCAACGGTCGTGCGACTGCACGGCATCCCTTCGGCGATCACAAAGCGAATATCACTTCCCGCAAGTACACCGACCTTCTACGCCGGGAACTCGTCTTGACCACTGGGCAACTAGTGCTACTTGACACGAAAAACCTGCACCTGCCTGGCCCGTCGAAATTACGACCACAAGTTTGTGGACCCTTCAAGATTATCAAGATGGTGACACCTGTCACCGCGAAGCTGCTACTACCCGACGACTGGCGCATTCATGATTCCTTCCACGTCAGCCTGCTTCGGAAGTTAGTGCCAGCCACGACCGACATCGCGAGGCAACAAGCTGCCCCAACTGCACGACCTGTCCCGGAGCCGACTCTCGAACCTTCGAAGATTTTGGCACATCGGATTAGACTTGACGCAGCTGGTCGCCACGTGGATTTCCTAATCCGTTGGACTGACCGCACCAGTGAGAATGACACGTGGGTGCATTCTGACTCGCTCGATGCCTCGTCACTTGTTGGTGATTACTTGGCGCGCAGGCGTGTTTCGGATATTGACTGCCTTTCTTAAAGGGGGAGGGGGGGGGGGGGGGGGGGGGGGTGTCAGATTTATATGACATAGTTGCTGTAGGCTATAGTGGGGTAGCACATATGGGGTACAGGGTTTCTAGGGTTGTATTTGTACCCAATCTTTCCTTAGTCATTTTCATTCCTGTTTTCTTTACTTCACATGGTATAGAGCGGGTCCTACCTTAGGACCGGTTTTTTTTTAGGGCCCACCGAAGCGCGCCCCGAGGCGCGCCTTTTTTTTAGCGACCCCCTCGGGTCGCCTTTTCCCTCGCGGCCCCGCTGTCCCTCAGACGCGGCCCCGCCACCTCTCCTGATCGCGGCCCCGCCGCCTGTTTGACGGGGCCTTGCCGCCTACCCTGACGCGGCTCCGCCGCCTCCCCTGACGCGGCCCCGCCGCCTCCCCTGACGCGGCTCCGCCGCCTCTCCTGACGCGGCCCCGCCGCCTGTCTGACGCGGCCCTGCCGCCTCCCCTGACGCGGCTCCCCCGCCTCCCCTGACGCGGCACCGCCGCCTCCCCTGACGCGGCTTCGCCGCCTCCCCTGACGCGGCCCTGCCGCCTCCCCTGACGCGGCTCCGCCGCCTCTCCTGCCGGCCCGCCACTGCACCTGCCGGCCCGCCGCTGCTCCTGCCGGCCCGCCACTGCACCCTACGCCCCGCCGCTGCACCTGCCGGCCCGCCACTGCACCTGCCGGCCCGCCGCTGCACCCAGCGGCCTGCCGCCTCTGACGGCCTCGCCGCTGCACCTGCCGGCCTCGCTGCTGCACCTGCCGGCCCGCCACTGCACCCTACGGCCCGCCACTGCACCCTACGGCCCGCCGCCTGCACCTGCCGGCCCGCCGCTGCACCTGCCGGCCCGCCACTGCACCTGCCGGCCCGCCGCTGCACCTGCCGGCCCGCCACTGCACCGGTCAACCCGCCGCTGCACCTGACGGACCCGCCCCTGCATCTCCTGGCCGAGCCGCCTCAGCAGCCGAACCGCCCGTGAGCCGAGCCGCCCGACGCCGAGCCGCCCGGGACCCGAGCCGCCCTGCCGCCGAGCCGCCCGGGAGCCGAGCCGCCCTGCACCCGAGCCGCCCAGCCGCCGAGCAGCCCGGGAGCCGAGCCGCCCTGCGCCCGAGCCACCCAGCAGCCGAGCCGCCCAGCACCCGAGCCGCCTTTCTGCATACCTACACGACCTGCCCTGCCTGGTGAGCACAGTCCCACTGACACTGCGAGCTCTTTCCCTGCTGCTTGCACTGCGTCGCTGTCGTCGCCATGGCTACCCCTAGTGTCCTAGCTTTTGACGCTGAGGGTCGCGCCATTGATTTTGAGGTCTGGTTAGACGACCTGCAGCTGTTCTTACAGTGCGACAGGGCTGACGACCTTTCTCTCTTTGATCTCACCTCTGGCGCCTCTCCTGCTCCTGCTGCTGATGCTGATCCCGCTGTCCGCTCTAAGTGGGCCACCCGCGATGCTGCTGCACGTCTTGCTGTGCGTCGCCACCTCCCTACCTCTGAGCGTGCGCACTTCAGTCAGTACAAGAGTGCTCAGACCTTGTACGACGCTGTGGTTGCGCGCTACTCCTCCCCTGCCACTGCTGCACTGAGCCGTCTCATGCTTCCCTACCTCTTTCCTGACCTCTCTGCCTTTCCCACTGTCGCTGACCTCATTACGCACCTCCGCACTAGTGACACTCGCTACCGCGCCGCCCTTCCTGCTGAGTTCTGCGCTAAGAACCCCCCCACCATGTACATCGCTCTCTACTACGTAGTCGCGCGCCTCCCTGACTCCCTTCGAGTCGTCAGGGACCACTTTCTCGCAGTCTGTCCCACCACCCTCACCGTCGACCTCCTCGAGAAGGCCCTCCTCGCAGCGGAGAAGAGCATCGTCGCTGTAGGTGCTTCTCGTGGTGACCCTCGCACCCCCATCTTTGAGGGGTGCTCTCCTTCCCCCTTGCTGCCCTCTGTTGCCTCTACTGCTGCTGCCGACCTGCTTGGTCTTGAGTCGGTCGGCGCGGCGTCTGCCCCTAGTGGGAGACGTCGCTCCAGCAAGGGCAAGGGGGGCAAGGGCGCGGGTGGAGCTGGAGGGGGCGGTGGCGGTGGCGGCGGTGGCGGCGGAGGGAGTGGGGGTGGCGGCGGGACTAGTGGCGGGGGTGGTGGTGGTGGTGGCAGCAGCGGCGGAGACGGTGGTGGTGGTGCCAGCGGCAGTGGTGGAGGCAGCGGCGGAGGTGGAGGCGGTGGAGGTGGAGGCGGTGGAGGCGGCAGCGGAGGAGGCAGTGGTGGTGGAGGGGGTGGATCTGGTCGGGGTGGTACCCAGCAGCGTAGCGGCGGTGGTGGTGGCCAGCGCTCGCAGCGGCAGCAGCAGCAGCGCTCTCAGGACATCCCTTCGCCTCAGCAGCTTCGTGAGTGGTACGCTGGGCGTCAGAGGGGTGGGGGTACTGGTCCCTGCACCTACGTTCTTCGTTCCGGCGACCGCGCGGGTGAGCAGTGTGGGGGTGCCCACGCCACCCAGCGCTGCTTTGACCGCCTGACGGACGCCTGGCGTCAGCAGTTCCCTGGGGCTAGTGAGATCCCTCGCTGGGATGAGCTTCTCAGGGCTGGTGTAGCGATCTTTGATCTTGATTTTGATGCTATCCTTACTGCTATGTATGTTGTGGATTATAGTGAGGAGAATGAGGGTTACCGCTGTTTCCAGCCCGACCCGGGCATTGGTACTGCTGCGCCAGGTGCTTGTGAGGCTGCTGCTCTAGGTGCCAGTGCGTCTGCGCTCTCAGGTACTGGTGAGACTGCGCTCTCAGGTACTGAGTCGTCCTCGTCCTCCCTCACTTTCACACTTGACTCCGGAGCTTCTCGCTCCTTCTTTCGAGACCGCACTACCCTTACGCCGCTCGGCCGGCCGGTTGCAGTCTCCCTTGCTGACCCCTCTGGGGGTCCTGTCCTGTCTCACTTCTCCACTGTCCTCCCGTGTCCGGCTGCCCCTTCGGGCACCCTGTCGGGTCTGTACCTTCCCTCGTTCTCTACGAACTTGGTGAATGGAGCGGACCTGCAGGATGTGGGTGTTCACCAGTTCACTCCTGCGAGTCAGCGGGTGACCCACTGCACGGAGGCACGCACAGGCCGACACCTGGCCACGTTCTCGCGTCGGCCGGGGCCGAGTCTCTACACCCTGACCGTTGAGTCTCCTCCTGTCCCTGCGTCTGGTCAGGTGGCTGCGTCGGGTCAGGTACTTGCTGCTGCGTCCCGGTCAGGTCCTGAGTCTGCCCCCTGTTCTTGTGGCCTCCTGTCTCACGAGACTCTCCTGTGGCACCACCGTCTTGGCCACCCCTCCTTGCCCCGTCTTCGGAGCATGGCTTCCCGTGTCCTTGTCTCTGGTCTTCCCCAGTCTCTCCCTCCTCTCCCCTCCGGGCCAGGACCTTCCTGTGTCCCCTGTATCGAGGGTCGCCTCCGGGCTACTCCTCACTCCTCCCACTTCCCCCCGACAGAGGCTCCCCTGCAGACGCTTCACATGGATGTGTGGAGCCCAGCCCCCGTCCGTGGGCAGGGTTACGAGCGCTACTTCCTGTTGGTGGTTGACGACTACTCGCGTTACACCACAGTCCTCCCCTTGCGCAGCAAGGGTGCGGTCACTGAGGTGCTGATCGACTGGATCCGCGAGGCTCGTCTCCAGCTCAGGAAGAGCTTCGGCTCGGACTTTCCTGTTCTGCGTCTGCACTCTGACAGAGGCGGAGAGTTCTCTTCTCGCCTTCTGCGAGACTACTGTCGTGCACGGGGGATCCGCCAGACCTTCACGCTTCCGGACTCACCACAGCAAAATGGGATTGCTGAGCGCCGCATTGGCATGGTCATGGATGTCGCTCGTACGTCCATGATGCATGCGGCTGCCCCCCATTTTTTGTGGCCGTTTGCGGTGAGGTACGCGGCGCATCAGCTCAACCTTCACCCCCGGGTCTCTCGGCCTGCGATGTCCCCAGTCTTGCTGTGGACGGGGAAGGTTGGCGATGCGTCTGTGTTCCGTGTCTGGGGATCTCGGGCGTTTGTCCGCGACTTGTCTGCGGACAAGCTGTCCCCTCGTGCTGCTCCCTGTGTCTTCCTTGGCTTCCCCACTGACGCCCCAGGGTGGCAGTTTTACCACCCCTCCTCTCGTCGTGTTCTGTCCTCCCAGGACGTCACGTTCGACGAGTCAGTCCCCTTCTACCGTCTCTTCCCCTACCGCACTCCTTCCCTCCCCCCTCCCCCGGACTTCCTTGTGCCGGTTCCCCCCCCGGTAGACCCCCTCCCCCCTCAGGTTCCTGCCCCCTCAGGTGTGTCCCAGGTAGACGCCGTTGACCCGGTCGAGGTTACTGGTGACTCTGGTGCTGCTGCGGGTGCTGAGCCTGGGGGTGCTGACTCTGGGGGTACTGTGCGCGGGGGTGCTGAGCCTAGGGGTGCTACTGCTGGGGGTGCTGAGCCGGGGGGTGCTGTGCCTGGAGGTGCTGGGTCTGGGGGTGCTGGGTTGGGAGCTGTTGAGCCTGGGGGTGCTGAGCTGGGAGCTGCTGAGCCTGGGGGTGCTGCGCCTGGAGCTGCTGAGCCTGGGGTTTCTCCTGCTGCTGCGTCTTGCCGGGAGCCCCTCTCTCCACAGGAGCTGCGCGAGTGGTTCGCTCGCCGCTGGAGGCGTGCTGCTGAGTCTGGAGGTGCCGCTGGAGCTGGAGCTGGAGCTTCTTCGACCGTCGAGGGTGCGGGTGCTGCCGGTCCCGGAGCTGCTGGACCTGCGGGTCCTCCTGGAGCTGGAGCTGCTGAGGGCGTTCGTGCTGAGCCTACTGCTGTTGGTCCTGCCGCTGGAGGTGTGGGTGGCGCTCGTGCTGTCGCTGAGGGTGCTGGTGCTGTCCCTGCTGAGTCTGGAGCCGCCGCGCGGCCTCGGCCGTACTTCGTTCCGCTCCTGCAGCAGGTTCTTGGTCTTTCTCCTCCAGTAGAGGGTCCACCGCCTGTCCAGTCGCAGTCCCTGCTGGAGCCTTCCTCTCCACTGCCTGCTCCCTCTCCTTACACTGGTCCTACTGGAGGTCTTGCTGAGCGTCGTGAGCCTGCGTCTCGTCCCGCGTCGCCTGTTCGTGCTGCTCGCGCTAGTGGTCGCAGTTCGCGTCAGCGTCCTCCTCCTGTCCCTGGCACGCATCGGATGTCTCTGCGTCCGTCCACTGCTCCTCTGCGTGCCCCTTTGCCTTCTTCTCCTGAGTCCTCTCTTCCTCCGCTTGCCGACCCTAAGACGGACTCTCTTCGCGCTGCGAGTCCTACTGTCACGCGTCTGCTTGCTACTGTCGTCACTGACCCCTCTTTTGAGTCCACTTCTGCGTCTGCTCTAGTCGCTGAGCTCGTTGACTTTGCTGCTCGCTGTCGTCTCGACTACGCTGCTAGTCTTGTTGCTGAGTCTGCGTCTGTCTGTCCTCCGTCCGTCAGGGGTGAGTGTGCTCTTGGCACGGACGTCCTAGAGGACAGGCAGGAGGAGTTACAGTGTCTAGCGGCTGCTTCACCTCATCTCGCGTCTGTACTGCTTGCCCCTGAGGGAGACCCGGATGCACTAGACATCCCGACTCCGCGTTCTTACGCGGAGGCCGTAGAGGGTCCCTACTCCTCTCAGTGGCAGGCAGCTATGGATGCAGAGATGGCTTCCTGGAAGTCCACAGGCACCTACGTTGACGCGGTTCCCCCTCCTGGGGCGAACATCGTCAGTGGCATGTGGATCTTCAGGGTGAAGCGGCCGCCGGGCTCTCCACCTGTCTTCAAGGCACGGTACGTTGCTCGTGGCTTCAGTCAGCGGCAGGGAGTTGACTACTTTCAGACCTTCTCTCCCACCCCGAAGATGACTACTCTTCGGGTGCTACTGCACATAGCCGCTCAGCGCGACTACGAGCTTCACTCTCTCGACTTCAGCACTGCGTTCTTGCAGGGTAGCCTGCACGAGGAGATCTGGCTTCGCCGTCCACCTGGCTTCACTGGGACTTTCCCTCCTGGCACCCAGTGGAGCCTCCGACGGCCAGTCTACGGTCTGCGCCAGGCACCACGTGAGTGGCACGACACACTGAGGACTACGCTTGCGCCTCTTGGGTTTGCTCCTTCTACTGCTGACCCGTCGCTGTTTCTTCGCACCGACACTTCCCTGCCGCCGTTCTACATCCTCGTGTACGTCGACGACTTGGTCTTTGCCACAGCGGACACTGCTGGACTCGCCTACGTGAAGTCCGAGCTGCTGAAGAGACACACGTGCACAGACCTGGGTGAACTGCGCAGCTACCTTGGCTTGCAGATCACTCGGGACAGAGCACGCCGCACCATTACCTTGACTCAGTCACACATGGTGCAGCAGGTCCTTCAGCGCTTCGGCTTCACGTACTCCTCGCCTCAGGCCACTCCTCTGCCTACTCGCCACTCACTCTCAGCTCTGCCTTCGGATGATTCCGTAGAGTCGAGTGGTCCGTATGCAGAGCTTGTTGGCTGCCTCATGTACCTGATGACCTGCACACGACCTGACCTTGCATACCCTCTGAGCATTCTTGCACGCTATGTTGCTCCTGGGAGACACAGACCGGAGCACATGGCTGCAGCGAAGAGGGTATTGCGCTACCTGTGCAGTACGTCGGGCATGGGGCTAGTGCTTGGAGGGCGGAGTCCAGTGGTCCTTACCGGCCACGCGGACGCTTCTTGGGCTGACGACCAGGCTACGCAGCGGTCGTCACAGGGTTACACCTTCAGCCTTGGTTCCGGCTCTTTCTCGTGGCGGTCTACTCGCTCGTCTTCGGTTCTCGGCTCCAGTTGTGAGGCTGAGATCTACGCCGGGGCCATGGCTGCACAGGAGCTTCGCTGGCTCACCTACCTGCTGACTGACCTTGGAGAGCCGCCTCGTTCTCCTCCAGTGCTGTACGTAGACAACAAGGCTATGCTGGCCTTGTGTCGAGAGCAGCGCTTGGAGCACAGAACGAAGCACATTGCTCTCCGCTACTTCCTTGCTCGTGAGCTGCAGCAGCGTGGTCAGTTGCGACTTGCGTACGTGGCCTCTGAGGCCAACACTGCTGATGTGTTCACCAAGGCACTCGCGCCTTGTGACCATCAGCGCTTTTGCACCCAGCTGGGTCTTGTGCCTGTCTTGCCTCACTTGCTCTCCTCTTGACTTCACTTGTACTGTGACATATATATGCCTGCTCTTGTTTGTCTAGTTTTATATATATGTCTGTACTCCTGCATGTGAACTGGCCTCTGGCCCTACTCTTGTGCTCGGAATGTGTGGTGACTTTGTGATCCACCCTGAGCTTGCTTTGCTTTGCTTGACTGGTCTTGTGACCCCTTGTTCTCCCCCACTTTGCCTATGGGGGTGTGTCAGATTTATATGACATAGGGTAGCACATATGGGGTACAGGGTTTCTAGGGTTGTATTTGTACCCAATCTTTCCTTAGTCATTTTCATTCCTGTTTTCTTTACTTCACAGGGGGGGGGGGGTAGTGTAAGGAATTTTCCCAAATTCCTTATCGGGGCTGACTGCTACGCGTACAGCCCGATTTTCGGACTTTGCACGTTCGGCTGATTTCAACGTTGCCGAGGCTCCTCGCGTCGCCTTCGGCATTTCCCATTGCCAAACCTGCACCCCAACCTCGCTTGTCCGAGGTTTCCTCCTAGCCAGGCTAGCTCCTACATTAGTGTGTTCCTTGACTGTATTCTCATATCATTTGAATCACAGTCTCGTTTTTCGTTTACCTGCGGACTCTCTTTTACAACTCATAACACTTCCCAATACGTGGACATCCTCTCCATTGAAAAACATGGCAAAGGTGAAATAACCCTTAAATGGGACTAGAAATTGTGTAATGATGTAAGGAATTTTCTCGTCATTCCTTACGAAACCCGACTACATCGCGTACAGCAACAACCGTTGTTTGCCCGTTACAGTTAACGGGGCTTCACCGACTTCGCGCGCACTGTTTCACCAAACCTCGCACTGCTGGCCTGGCCGTGTCGGCCTACGCTTCGGGACTAGCCCGAGCCTCGCTCCAGCGTAGCACTAGCTAGCTCGCACGCACCGCGTTACCGTTTGCATGTTTCGCATATAAATGTTCGCTCATGCCTTCGCTCACATTTTGTACTCGTTTGACACCTTAGTGCAATCCTTGCTACTTTGATTCATTGCACCCGTAACACTTGGTATTCAGAGCCCCTTTCTTTCGGACCGCGCATCTCCGCACTCCAGGAAATCAACTTTTGATTTTTCACTCGAAGGGACTCACGTACCTTAGCACCAAGGAGCCGCTGTCCTCGCGTTCTCTCGTAAACGCATGCAGCCACGACTGCGCCTAGACTAAGACAAGCCGACGCCCTTCGAAATGGCTGAACACATCGACGTCACGACTCTCACGCAGGAGCACTTGAACGATCTGCTGTGACAAATCCGCAAGAGCGCCGAGGAAATCGCAACGCTGACGGCAGAACGCTCGTCCCTGCAAAACGACCTCACACGAGCACAATCCCAAGCACCTGGCACTCTGATTCAGCCCGCACCACAAACATCACAGCACGGAAGTGTGGGGCAACCCGCGAGCGCTCCAAGTGATGGCGTCGTCCGCCATGACGGAGACGACGACCACGGCACGACACACCCCGACGCGACGAATGCGGCCAGGACTCAGCCTCAAATCACGATTTCAGTGCTGGCCGGCGGATCAACTCTTCCATCGCCGATGCCGCTAAAGCCGCAGCGTCCGCCATGCTTTGACCCAAGTCTCGGGGTGGTCCTACCGTTCAGGCGTGGCTCTTCACGTTGAACGTTTTCTTCGACGCGAACTACGTCTCGGAGGATACGGCGAAGATTCGTTACGCCGTGTTGTTGCTGCGAGGACCTGCCATGGACTGGTGGCGCGTCATCGTCACGAAGCCGGTGGACTACGCAACTCTACCGACAAGGGAAGGACAAACCGGACCCAAGGCGCCGTCGTATTTCGTGGAGGTGCCCCAGTATTGCACGTGGGACGCGTGGTGCGCAGGTCTGCGCGCTCGTTTCGAGCTAATCACGGCTTCGATCGCGGCGCGATAGAAGCTCCGCACTTGGCGCCAACTCGGTTCCGTCTAAGATTACACGAGCGGATTTCTGACGCTATGCGAGCAAGTGGGATATATGCACGAGAGCGAGCACATTGACCGCTACATTGGCGGCCTGAAGCAGGACATCGCTTAGGAAATCCAGCTCAGCGGCGTCACCGACTTTCAAGAAATTCTCGCCATGGCGGAGAAACTTGATTTCTTCCGCCGACCGAGACCGGGGTCCTACGAAAGCAGCCATTGGGGACTTTGGCCTCGTGGGACAAACGAGGGCGCCATTATACGTGCCGTCGCCGCAAATGCCGCTACCGCACCGTTCAAAGGGCGCTGCTTTGCGTGCAATTGGCCGGGACATCGCAAGAGCGAATGCCCGGAAAATGCTAAGGGAAAGGGAGAAGCTGAGCAGCAGAAACAGACCAAGCAGCAGGGAAACGCTGGGAGTCAGTAGCAGACGGGCCCTCTACTGACAGGTCACGCCGCTCGCCCGACCCAACCGACCCTCACCGAGTAATTG